GATAACCATCAAGACGCCTGCCATTTGATACAAATAAATATCACGAAAGCTTGGATGTTATATCGCTTTTCACTTTATTATGACATAACTAACACTCTACAGGACTTATGCAAACATTCCAACTCACCTTATACGCACGAATGGCATATTGGCCTTGTCTTGCATTTGTCGAAATCGCTCCTCTTCCACATTATCACGCAAGTCGTTTTCCTCAACCAAAGTCCTTGCCACTTCATTGATTTTCAATGCCTTTCTGACCATTAATAGTGTCCCCAACTGACAGGATCCACTGGCGAAATAATGCATTGGAAGGGTGACTTAGGAATCAAGGAACCGAAATCGGCGGGATTTAATTTAACAAATCAGAACAACATAAGCAACAGCTTACTTCAAATCAGCTTTCAAAGATAAGGATGACATTCTCATAGGTGGTTTATTGGCTACCTTTGAAAATTAAAAGCAGTAATTGGCTACAGGATGTCCTTGTGGATCGTTGCGACTGAGGAACAGCGCTTATGTTTAAGTGCAGGAGTAGTGCATATATTCACTCCTACCCCCCCCCCCCCCCCCCCCCACCCCACTACCGCCCTCAAAGCATTTGTTTCGAATTGGTAGTTCGGGCCTTCACTGTTTTCGTTCGAATTTCCTTTGAGATGGAATTTGCGTTGCTAGTGCTCCTCGTTTCGATCGAGGTGTCTTAGCACTGACCTAGCAATTTCACTCTGCAGTTTGGCTTGTCTAATCTTATTAATAGCATTTTCCTCTTAAAATGGCCTTAATGATGATAAATAAAAAGCGTATTAACACACAATCGGAACTCCGGACTACAATCAACAGTTCTAAGTTTGTACCTATATTTATGTGCTTGAGTTTCAGAAACTTCTCTTCGTATCACTCCACACACTCGACCTTACAAAATCTAGGCTGTTGAGTCACATTTTAAACAAAAAATAGCAAATAAACTACAAATAGTCACAATTTATCCAGAAGTTCCAATCAAAAAACTCTGCACTTATTAAAAGTCATAAATAGATTTTACTTTCAAGCCTGTCATTCAATAGTTATTTGGGTTATAATGAATTACGCAAGTGGCGCCTATTACGAAAATGTACAAAATTCAAAAATCATTAATATTAACTTTGGATTGACATTCAGGCAACTGAGATAAAATCGAATGAAATTCTGTTATTTAGATAAGGAATGTCTTTTTCAAAAATTAGAGGTGCCTTATGTAACTGTGCGCTGAAAGTCCCAGAACATGAACAGACCAACTCGATAGTCAATAGGTTGATGGCCTCAATTCTAAATTTCAGGAAAAGAGAGTAACCATTCTATGTGCTTGAGAAAATCGAATATGATAGGCTTAGTGAACTTGAAAGAATGCGTACCAGATTATCGATTATCGGTTTCTGGACAAGTGCGGATGTATGAAATATAGCCATTTCTACAAATTATTGACCTATCAGTAAGGCTGCCATTTCCTACTGCTCGAAGCGTAAGTGCGCGGCAACCGTTTTCACCTTCTGGATCTTAGCAACTGAGGCCTTCAGAAAATTGCGCTGGAGACGCAAACTAGATAAAGGTCTTGGTTTGCTGCGCTTTCCATTAAACGAATAGGGCTTCGAGTTTCGCCACTCAAACTTTGAAGGCGAAAAAATTTCCTCAATATGGCATACTACGAATTAATTTTGAAATTATTATGTTTTTAGAGTCAATTTCAATTTCTTTCGTCAAAATCCACCTTTTTGTAAGTAATAAATCTGCGAATAGATAAAAACTCATAAAATAAAGGCCTCCTTTATCTGGCGCCGACCTTGAAATATTGCCTCGGAATATTCTACCAATCTTAAATAGTTCCTAATTTTTTTTGATAAATAGTAAAATGGTTGTCAAAGTAGCAGTAAATCAAGATATGTCACCCTCAATTCGTGAAGACTTATTCCCTAATTCCACCATTCTCCCATGCAAATAATAGCACGAAGGCCAATCCAACACCACCTGGATATTCATAACTATTGTATTGACTATTGTTCCAACAGGAATAGTCTCCAAAAATTGCTTTCAAACATCATATTTATTAATTTTTAAAATATTGCCACTGTAGAAATTATAGGCTAACTGATGGGCTTACGCATTAATTAAGCAAATGCTTTGGTCAAGGTTAGAATTGTTTTACTTAAAAAGGAAAATAATACGAATTATCAATTCCTAATTACCAGGAGAAACAACAAGGAAGTTTACTCTGTTGCCCTAATGACGAGTTCTGACGCGTTCTTATTGGTTATGAGCTCTGGTCTTATTGGCTAGAAGGTGTGAATGCATCGCTTACTGATTGGTCCACACCAAGTGCGTGCGTGCTGGACAGGAGAAGCGTTAGCGAACAGTGGCTTTTATCAAGCATCACCATATTTAGCTCTCGTGTTTTCGCGTTGGGTAGTCTCTTCAGTGTACCATGGCCGCCACCGAACAGCAATCTCAAGCTCCAGCTTGGAAACAGGAAGTTATTCGACGAAAACTTGAGAACGAACGCAGTAAAGACGTCGAACGTCGATGGGAGAAGCTAATTGAAACCGAGGGAGCTGATGCCCCAGAATGGATGCGGGAAACGGCCTTGAAAAAGAAAGCCCAAAGGGATAAGTTGACTGCGGCTGGAATTCCTCCTTGGATGCAAGAAATGCAACGTCGTGGAAGTAATCTCACTAAAAAGATGGCTGAGGCTCAACAGGTGCAAGAAATCGATCCCTCTGAACGTGCTCCGACTGTGGATTCAACAGAAAGTTAAGCGTGATATCGGTGGCTTTATCTATTTCCCTCTCACATCCGTCTGCATCATGTTTTCTAGCATTGTAAATCGGCTTTTCTTTTTCTCTTCTCCCATGACCAATCTCCTAGTATGCTTTTATTTTTATACCCCGATTCGAATTAACTAGTCATTTTACCTCCTCTATTCCTTATGGTTATTTTTGTCCTTACATTTCTCCTATGTATGTCGCGGTTCCGAAAAAAAATTTGGTAAACCAAGGTCTAGTTGATGTCATTGTATCACTGGTTTCACGGGAGGTGTTTGGTCTGTTTTTATATTTGCCACGAGGCCACTGGTTTGTCGATTTATTTATTATTCTATATCTATATTTATTGATTAAATATGGATTCATTTGTTTAGCTTTGTGGGTTTGCGGTCGATCATATGCGGATTGAGTTGAATTAGATTCAAATTGCTAAGCGTTGCTATTGCCGAATACTTTTCAAAAGTTTGATATGTGCTTTAAATTGTAGGCTTTGAAGCAAAGCTGTTTTCGGTGAATTAAAGAAGTCAATTACTGCTTTAGTTCTATGTACAGTAGCCGAGTCTGTTTTCTATAACTCTATAGATTTTCCGCCCATCTTGACTCTATGTAATTAAGTAACTTAATAATTTCCTCATCGATAGGATGATGTTCTACAAAAGCCCCAAATTCGCCCACATCGAACAGGTGCACTACGAAGTATAAGAATCGACCAATCACAGTGGAGATACCACTTTTTGACCTTGATGCTATCATGAGTGAATAGTCTGCATTACCGTTGCGTAATATCTGACCTTTCGAAAGCTTTCGGATGACTATTGCTGATTTAACTGGTTGCGTTCTTTAAAAGGGCGCTGACTGAATTGTATTGAAATGCAGCATTTGATAGTGGGGGGGGGGGTTGCTTTGAGGCCTTTTTCGTCTGACAAAACTTCCAAATTCTAGATTTCACTCACCTGCATTTATAAGGCACTTAATAAGTCTTAATAAAAGCCTGTTTAAGGGTACGCAAATGAAATGTGAGATTTGGGGAGTACTGTCCTTGAATTTCGCTATTGGTTATTTCAAAATTCTGTTATTTTTATAAGTGAACAAATTTCCGTTAAAACTATTAAGATTTGGGTTTCGTGTTATTTGACAGCTGACCGAAGTTGCTATCTGTTCTCGAGGAATCGAAACCATAGACTTCATCCTAAACACAGAAAATCATTTTTAGCATGAGAAAAGGTGGAGTGAACAGCGAGGACATGCAACCAGACCTTCTAGTGTATTTTAACCGATTGACCATTTTATCCAGTGGTTACTTGATATTCTTTCCCCTCACTTGAAATGACTGTTTATTTATTCGTTTGAGTTGTTTCTTGAATGGTTTCTTCGATATGGTCTGCAATTGTGATTCCGATGTTAGTATTCTGTCGTTTACAATATGCGATGTTTCTATTCTTATGAAAAATCGACTCCTATAAGTCAAATTTGACTCTGTAATTGCCAATTTTGACAATAAAGTACTGGCTAGCCAATCTGCAGTTATCTAGTTCTCTAAATCAGTGGATAATGAGACTTCGACAGGCTTAAACTCCAATCGGATTGAATATGTCGTTGTGGCGATTGAGCCTTGGGTTCCATCTCTCCATTGAAATTTATGTTTATAATTAAGTTGCTTTCTAGGTTAACAAAACGAATCAACCTCCTTGACCCCTTTAAAAGAAAATATCATCTTAACTAAATCCCCATCCTTGACGCGAGAATCCAAATGCGAAATAAAGATATTCACCTTGTTATAAATGACACTTTTAATTATTGCAATTAGTTTTATAAATATCAACAACTATCAGCACGTGAGACCTCATTTGAGACGCTGTAACTAAGGTGTAAGTGTCTCCTTCCTGCTCTTGAGCATTGTTCCTATACCTATTTTTAGCCGACGTAACTGACATAATGTCGTATGATACGGTAGAGGTCTTTGTGTATTTGAACATAACTCGCCCTATGCTACACTGCGAATCGACATTTCGTCTCAACCCAGTTTAAAATGAGACTCGTATTAAACAGTCAAAAAAATTATTATTGATGGAAGTATTTATATCAAATGGCGGGCTTTATGATAGTTATCATTAGCCCTTTAGTTGACTTCAGGCTTCACAGAGGGAGAGGAACATTAAATCGAAAAAAGTCGAGAGAGGTGGGGGGGGGGGGAACAGAAGGGTGTTTTAAAGATGTAAAAGAGACGCACACAAAGGTAGATGAAAGGTGAGGTGAGTACTGTGAAAGTGGTCGAATGTGACATACAGTGGAGTCATGGTAGTTTGAAGTGAGAAGTCAACTGCCAGTCAATAGACTTTTTTACCGTATGAATATACGTTGCCCAGGGTGCACCACGTGGAGGTAAGTCTATCGCACACTATTGGTGGAAGTAGATTATGGCTAAGGCAGATGACGACCACAACGTTACCCGTATACAATTTCAAACTACACACCTAGCCCAGAGACTCACATTCTACGCCACAACTAGAGCCATATTTGGAGCGAGGTCAGGTAATTTGTTGACAATGCATCCATCAGTTGCATTTCAAAGTTGAGATAGTGGATCCCACTGTCTGGCTTTGGGCAAAGGTGTGAGTCATCTCATCTTGTGACTTTGTTCCAGAAATGGGAAGCCAGTCAGGTGGTCTAATTGGTCCCAATACAGAGGTTTATGTCGAAGCTGGTGTTATGACTATCTTCCCATGTTTGTTTCATTTAAAAATTACTAAAATTTGACATTTTCGAAGGCTAACACTTTGAAATGCCTCTTTACAGTACTTTTCCAAATCTCAACGGGGAATACATACTTGCATTTACTATAATTGTGTAAAAAACGTCATTTTAGAAATTAAAGGAATGCATTCTATTAGATTGGCAACTAAGTCATTGCCGATTTCAAATAAGAAGGCAAATTTGGAATATTTATTTAAAAATATAACTTTTTTCAATTAAATATTGGCCGTTCTTGTCGATGACCTTTTTCCATCGTTCTGGCAGAGTAAAAATTCCCCGTTCGTAAAATGTCTGGTCTTTGCTATTAAAAAACTGAATTAGGTGTGATCCGACATCATCCGCGTTGTTAAAAATTTTACCATTTAAAGAGTTTTGCATGGAACGAAACAAATGGTAATCCGAAGGCGCAAGGTCAGGGCTATATGGTGCGTGTGACAAAATATCCCAACTCAGTTCCAATAATTTTTGCCGAGTAACCAAAGATGTGTGGGGCCTTGCGTTATCAT